AAATGTGAAACATTTAGAATAGAGTCTAATTGGCATTTAGTATATATGTTAGCTATTATCATTATTATATTCAATTTCTATTCATTGACTAAATTATTCATTTTATATACAAAGAGAAGAAAAGGACACTAGAACCTGATGAAGAAACTACATAAATGTAAAGGTTTTACTGTACATATTACTATTTATTGCATCAACTTACACTGCTGGGAGAAAGGACGATTGTACAAAAATTTAGTTTATGAAGTCAAATAGGAAGAAAATTAGGAAGTGGAACCAAGCCCGGAGGAAAGGGAAATTCAGGCTAAGAGTAAATATATAGACTCTTATAAGGAGGAAAGAGAATCTTTCTGTTTAAATTCTTTGCAGAAATTAGTCAGCTCAACACAATGTTAACACAAGTTTGAGAAGATAGTTTGAGTAAATTAATGCCAATCACCTTTAGAGAGCATCTGTTTTCTTGTTTACATATGTAGCTGTTACGCCTTGGTGCCACCGTCAAGCATTTGAAGTTGAGTTTAATATACATTCAGTACAAGTTTAATGCCATTATGAAAAGGCACCCAGAATGTATAATGCAGGGGTGCAATTGTGTCTGTGTGTGTCTGCATTTGACTTGGAGTCTGCATTCTCTCTTTATCTGCCCAACATCAGGAGATCCCATGTACCCTCTTTCCTGTGCACCTGCTGGCTTCCCTCAGTCCTTCCATGTGCCTCCTGGGAGTTCACTCTGCAGCCCCACCCCTCCTCCACCCTTTTCAAATCTCAGTCCATACTTCAGTACCGGGGAGTATACCTCGGACTCTACCTCACGCCTTCAGTCGCTCCAAAATGAAACCATGGTGTTCTTACACAGTGCTTTTCAGTTTATTTGTATTATCTTTTAAAATGAATATCTGTCTTCTCTGTTAAACTTTAATTGCACTAAGGGTAGAAGTTATTCTGTTTTGCTCAGCAAACATACCCAGAGCCTGGATGCTTATTGTGGAATAACTTCACACACACGAAATGTTGAAATGTTGAGGAGCTAAGTTCCATGATCCACAGGGTCATAAGGCCAGCGGGGTTCAGAGACTTCAGAACGAGTCACAGGCAGGAGGGTACGGAAGGTAGGGAGTGTCTGCCGCCTCAGATGTGGTATGTGTGTACGATTGGATTCTGAATTTGTCAATACATGTCTGGTCAGGTAAGGTCTCAAAAATAACCTTTGAACATGATAATTATCTAATTTTAAATGTCTGGCAATTAAAATTGACAAGAAAATATTCACATTGGCACTAACCTGTAAAAGGTAGTTATGACAGTCATTTGATTAATGGCTTATTGAAAGGACAGTAACCTATAAATAAACGTTTTATAAAAATATCAAAATACTGTTCAAATAAGCAGTTCTTAAACTGACCTTCTGGAAAAGCAAAGAAAATAATTCAAATTAAATTTCAGAGAATTGCAATAATAATGTGTAATCAGACACTTTACTTTTTAATCATCTTTCTTAATGCAGTGGTAGACCCTGAAAATACTAGATGGACAGCTAATATGTCTATTAACCTGTCTCAATCAAATATCAGGTGTCTTAAATGAATCTTTAGTAGGTGGTGAATCAAAGCCAAGCTTATAAATGAATTTTCTTTCAGAACTGTGTAATGCATTCTTACAGCACAAGGAGAGATGTCCTTCGGAATGTCAGATATGAGAAGGGATGACTTTGGTGTTCCAGTGGAAGTGTTTGAGACAAATGCATACTGTGCCTTATTACAGAGCCAATGCCAAGTCTGAAAATGACTTGCAGTTACCCGAGAATCCCGCGTCCTCCCGAGGAAATTCTGTTCTAGAATGGTTGTTAATAACTTAAATACCAACCCTTTTACGAATAGAATGCTACTTTTATATACACAAATGGTTTTTCATAAGTTAAAGTTTTATCATTAACAACAAGAGAACCTATGTAGTTTTCAAGGAAGGTAAATTTATGTTTCAGTGCTACAAAAGAACAATGTTATTTCTGAATGGAAACATGAAGAATTCCCTATTAACACAGTATTTTGTAACATTCTAATACAAATGATAAATTCAAGTTTTTAACACATAGGAAATAATAGCTTAATGATTGTATTTTCTTTTCTCAAACTATATGTAAATTTTGCCATAAGTTAATTTACTTTATAATAATACTAAAATGTATGGGTTCTCAGCACTAATCCAAGTGACTTTCACATCAAGCACCACAAAACTGTTCTCATATTTGTTCACCTATCATATCGCCCTACAGGTGAATTTTCAGCAAAAGTAGAAAAGGCAGTATGTCCCAAGAAAAACACAAAACTCAAAGTAGTGATTATAAATAACAGATAATTATATAGGTTATAAATAGAATACAGAATGCATAATATAGAAAAAGATACAATATTTATATAACATAGTCAGTCGGGAACTATTTTGAATATAAAGTGATATTTGGCCGAAAAATGAAAGGAATGCTGATATAATCCTGCCTTTTGAATGTGGAAGAGATAAGGGGGGGATTGATTTCAGACACGTCTTAAAAGAAGGGTGCTTATGGAAAGCACGGGATATCCATGACAGTACAAGTAATTCAAATTAATTGGAATCCAAATCATAAAGAATGCCTAGAAAAGTGATGCCATATGGAAGTCCCTAAACATCAGGCGGAGGGATAGGAGTTTTATTTGGAGGGGAATACAGTGTTATTTATGATTATAGCGCACAGGGGATGTGAAACCTTCATAAAGTTGTTATGCGAATTAAAAGTTTGTTTAAAAAAACACACACACTCAGCTTCACAAGAAATAATTTCTGCAGCTGGAATGATTTTTTTTCCTAGAGAAACATAGGAAATAGCTTAACGCTGATGACTTTTGCAGAGTCAGGGAGTCTTTTTCGGTCACATCCAGCCTTCGTGTGATTGTTCTCGCTGAAATGCTGAGACGCCTGTCAATATCCTCTGCATGGTGGCACAACTGAGACTGTTAAAGAGCAAGAACAGACAGGTCTACAAAACAAAACTGCTGAAAATGGGGAATGATCATGTAGAACAAGACGATAAGCTGATTCCTCATAATTTGGAATATAAATAGATAAAGGTTCAGGAATTAACCCAAGACTGAGGACAGGTATAACATGGGCCATGGAAAACAATTAGTCTCATTCACGGCCAGAAAGACCATGTGGGGAGAGCAGGTGATGCCGGGTGAGGGGGTGATGCTCTCAGGTGTGCACGTGCCAACGGAGATACATGTCCAAGGGACGAGCCCCGCAAATGCGATCCTGAAGGTCAGGAACCGGCGCAGATGCGGCCTGAGCAGAGCATGTCCACCGAAGGAGACCAGAGGCCAGGACAGAACGCAGGGCCCCCAGGGAGAAAGAAGACCACAGCGGGAGGCAAGGAGTCGGCAGAGGCGACATGGAGAGAAACCTAAGTGTGGGATTGTGAAAGCCAAGGGAAGTCAGCGCGAAAGGGAGACAGGCTAGTTCAGTAAGGTCCAAGGATGGACAGGCGCAGTGAAGTGAGGACCACGGGATACTCTAGTAGTTACTGAAACTGGTGACATGTATAACAAAATGGCCATTTTGCTTTTGGGTGTATTCATTCTGAGTTGACCTCTTGTGAATTTTGGCTTTTTTTTTTTCTCCTTTTCTCTCAATTACGTAAATGAACTTGGCAGTTGAACATGTTAAAACTTGGCAGAAGAGAATGCCCTTCTGCTGGGAAACCTCGTCTTACTATTTTTTTTAGCAATGCTTGGGAGTGGGGAACATATGGTTGGCCTAGAAACCCTGGTCTAAGTTGCATGATGCACCCCTAGTGTGTTTTTACTTCTTTGTTTTTAAAGACTATTTTTGTGATAGTAAATTGGGTGACTGCTATGATTACATAATAATTGCATGCCTGTAAAAAATTAAAAAGCAAAAAATAATCATACTGTGCTCCAATCAACATTATGTTTGAAAAAGAGCTTCAGAACAGTCTTTTGATATTAATAAAGAAGACAAATGATTAAACACCAAATTTTAATCATCCAAAGCACACAAATGTATTAAAATGTAATTGAACTTCAGTCATGTATAAAACTAAACAACTATTATATTGTTACATAATAACATAGGTATTTTGTGATTAATGTATGGCATAAAATATTTTACGAGACACTGACACCTCAAATATTGAAAAGAATCAATTCAGTAATAGTAAAATACATTTCAAAATACTAAAAGTTAAATATTCTGATGGTATGAAGTAAAATTCAGTGAATAAACTGTTTTAATATGCATGTTATTAATGTATTTAAGCGATTTGAGAACATTCTAGGCGTGCTGATTTAGATTATAAGCAGTTCTGTTATTTGAGTCAGTGTTCATGGAGTAAGTAATTAATCATCTTCATAGTGTTTCTATTGAATTCCTAAAAATGAGTCTGATAGTGCCATGTTTTATTATGTAGTCTATGATGCATCTGGTACTAATTGTGCTTATGAGCAGTACTGTTGGGTTTACTCAGAAACAGACACTGTAAGTCCCTTAAAGCTTTAATTGACAGAAGTCTTGGTACAGTTTCCTTACTGTGAAACTAAAGTGCCACAGGACTGTCATTTTCCTCAGTGGATTTTAGGCAGAATTGAAGGACATTGTTGCTGTTTTGTTGTGTTTGCGGAGAACATAACTGGAAGCCAACACACCCCTTCCTGGAAGAACATGCAGGCTTTTTACAAAGCAGAGCGTGCTAAACAAAAGAGGGTGCTGAAACATGTGTTTACATCCTCACTACGCCTCAGTGTCCCTGGAAGGAAGTGGGCAGGTAGAGTGGACAAGCTAGAAATTACAAATCATAAACATAGAAACACTGCATTTAAAAAAAAAAAAATGAGTGCAGGTAAGAGTTTATTTTATTTACTGTGTTTATCATGACCACCATGTGTTTGCTCATCCTTTTACACAAAAGAAGCATAAAATCTTTCTCTTTCCCGACTCGATGTAAACAGAGTTCAGATGGCCGCATCGAAGTCCAAGGGCAGAGTGGAAGGTCGTCCCTGCACATTAAAGATGTGAAGTTGTCCGATTCAGGGAGATATGACTGTGAGGCCGCAAGCAGAATTGGGGGGCACCAAAAGAGCATGCACCTCGATATCGAATGTAAGTTACTTTCATTTTGTCTGCTTACTGAAAGAACTTTTTCTGCTTTGGAAAATATGAACTTTTGTAGGAAGATAAAAATATCTGTGTGGTCCCTGTTTCAGTATTGAATGCATAGCTTGGGAAAGAACATAGCTCCTCAGAGCCCGTTGTTGGAGACATCTAGTGGATGTTATGGGACATTGAACAGTACTACATGTATTTAGTGATCTTAATACTGCTTAACCCTGAACATCATTAATGTTAAACCCGAAACACAGCATCAATGGAACTATAGTATCAGCTATTATTATTAGTTATCAGTGATTGGTCAACATTTCCTTAGATGTCTCTCTATTTATTATAATATTAATGGTCCAGTGGATCACATAGGCAGTGAGTTTCATTTCTTATTTAAGCTGTTTTGTTGAATTATTATTATTATTATTTTTTTATCCTCACCTGAGGACATTTTTCCATTTTTTGTTTGGATAGAGTGGGAGGGGGGGAGAGAGAGAGACAGAGACAGAGACAGAGACAGACAGACAGACATCGACGTGAAAGGGACACATTGAGTGGCTGCCTCCCGCATGACCCAACCAGGGCCGAGGACAAACTGCAACTGAGGTACGTGCCCTTAGCGGGAACCAAACCCGGGTCTCTCTGGACCGCAGGCCGAAGCTCTAACCACTAAGCCAAACCGGCCAGGGCTTGTTGAATTATTTTGCATGCTCATAAAATCTGATATAGTGGTTATAAGTGGTTGCATATATCGGTACTTATACTTTTATCAAAATAGTGTTTGTTATCTGAAAGTGGGGACTATGACAAAGAGAGCTGTTAAAAAAACTATAAAAACATTTTATAGCTGTGAGATTTGAGAAGTGGGAAGGTTGATGTGAATAGAACCTACACAGTGCACCTTAAGTCAGTGCATCTGATTTTAGAATAAGTTGGTATATATGTCCTTTAACAAGGAAGAAATGTAATATTATTCTCAATAAATATTCAGGAATCATCAATGTTGGAGGTTCTCTGATACTTGAAAGGGCATAGTGTCTTACTTAGTGGGAATGTAGAAGATACTCCTATTAACATGTTTCTATTGGAGAGTTTCTATTACATTAATATTAATAGAATAGGATGGTAATTGTGAAACAAGATGCGTATTCTAATTGAGAACTCTAGAAAGCAAATATTTTCTCAAGAATAGACACAAATAATCCATATTATTTTACATATTTACAAACTGTGCTTGCCAAGAAATTAATGGAAAGACCAATTAAACTGTTTAAGTCTATGCTGTCTTTTTAATGTTTTGTTGATTTGGAATTTACATAGAGGTCGATGATTCATTTCGAGTGCATATTTGTGGAGTCAGTGTGTATGATCTTTCCATACATACACAGAATCATTCAGTACTACTGACTGAGAAGACTTTTCTAGCTAAGGGTTTTACCAATATTGAAGTTCTTTAAAAGCATTGGTTTTGGCTCTACTAATTTATATTTTCTGTTATATATCTGTTGTCTAGTTCTTTGATTTTGGCTTTATCATTATTATTTTCATTTTCCTATATATTTTAGATTTGCTTTTCTCTTTGTTTATAAATTCTTAAGGTACAGTATTACTACTGTCTTGGGATGTGCATAGGTTGATTATCCTTTCCCATTAGAACTGATCATATTCTCCTGGATCATTACGTGGCAAGAGTCGTTGAATTCTGTCCTGAATACTGTAAATATTATGTTGTGCAGACTCTGGGTAATTTGGAAATCATCTGGAGAAAGTGTTTTTAAGCAGGTAATCACCCCTGAGTTCTGTGTTGCCTCCTGTGAGCAGTGATTCCAATCTCAGTTGGCTCCTACAGTCTTCGCTATGCAAGGTTGTGTCTGTCATATGCGTGCAAAATCCCAGCTCAGACTGAGCTTTCTGTGGTTTTATATGCAGAATTATGGCATCTCCTCCTCTGACCCTTCTCTGGAATTACCTCCACACTGTTCATCCTGTATTGGCTTCTTTCCAAGACACCTCTGTACTTATGGACACAGTTTAGCTCCAGAATCACTTCGAAGCTCCTCAGCTAGAGCCTGGCCCGTAGACAACATCATAAGAGAAAAAAGGGAAAAAATGGGAAGCTAGTGTTTATTCTCCTTCACAAGTTTTTGATTATTCTACAGAAGCCTTAGGTAGTTTTTTGTTTCTGTTTTTGTTGTGTGATGTTTCTAGAGATTTTAGTCATTACCAGTAGGGAAGACAGACTATCACAGGTTTAGAGTGCCATTATGGAAGTAGAGAGATAGAGATTAGAGATAGAGATAGAGAGAGAGAGAGAGAGAGAGAGAGAGAGACAGTATATATATATATATATATATATATATATATATATATACACACACACATACATACATATATATATAATGAAAGCTAGAGAGATAGATATTATATTTTAATGCAACAAAAAATATTTGGTTATCTTAGCTCATGCAGATAAGAACATAATAGTCTTAATTTTAGTCTTCAATAGTTTTCCATTTATTTCTTCCCTTTGTTTTTCAAATTTCATTTTTATTTCTGTGAATCACATGTCCTCAGCTAAATCATCGCACTGATCAAAAGATTGTTTAAATTGCAAAGTCCTAATAGAAGTTGAGTTTCCTTTTTTCCCTTCAGTGTATCAATCTTCTGTAAAGTCAATTTTATTTAATTTGACATTTTTATATTTGCATCAACCTTAGTATTTCTAGAAAGTGTATAAGTTCTGCATAGGTATATCATTTCTAATTTTAAATTGTGAAATAGACTAGCTTTAGCTGAGGTTTACAGGTAGATGTTCAGATGTGTGTGTGTGTGTGTATATATATATGTGTGTATATATATATATTTTTTTTTCCCCCTCACCTGAGGACATTTTTTTTTATTTGGATAGAGTGGGAGGGAGAGAGAGGGAGAAAGGAAGAGAGAGAGAGAGAGAGAGAGAGAGAGAGAAAGAGAGAAAGAGAGAAAGAGAGAGAGAGAGAGAGAGAGAGAGAGACACACATCAACGTGAAATGGGACACATCGAGTGGTTGCCTCCTGCACGACCCCACCCAGGGCCCGGGAGGAATCACAACCTAGGTACATGCCTTTGACAGGAATCGAACCCACTACTCACTGGTCCATGGGCCAATGCTGTAACCACTGAGCCAAACTGGCCAGGGCAGTACCCTTTACTATAAAGGGTTAGTTCTTCTAATATAGACTGAATTTCAGTAAAGCAAACTAAAATGTTTTATATTTTAATATTAATAAATATATTATCAAAATTTAATTATTTATTCCATTAACATATTTATCCTTCTATTTTTAAAATATCTCCAAATGAAAGGAGTTCTTTTGTGGATCTAACCTACTCATGAATACGCTTTTTAAGCCGCTTTCTCTTGTTTTTTTCCCCATGATGAATATCTTTCAAATATCCATTATAAATTACTACTGTCTAGGAATCTAGCTTTCTCTTTGATTAATCTAGATTCCTATAGTATTTCTTCATTAAGTCAATTAGAATTCTCTATTTTTTACAATTATATTTACTAATGAATTCCAGGACAATACTAAATTATGTTGTGGGTCTAGCTCACTATTCCATCCTAATACTACATTTAATACTAAAATGTAGCTTTAGCATGATATTAAGTTGCCCATATATTTACCTAACTTCTTCTCTAATATATATATATTAGAAGTTATGACCATCTTGGTACTTACTATAATTTATTAAAATTGAACAAGGTAAAAATATTTATAGTAGAAGAATATAATGCTGGAAAAGTCAGAAGCTGTGTAAATATGTTAGTGAAAGAAGACTTTGTACTTAAGTAGAAAGTAACATAAGTATTTGTATTAATTTCATTAATTGCTAAAGTTTAGATTATATTCATGTGGTAGAAAGAGAAAAAATATCACACTATTATTATTTGTCCATGTTTGGTTTTATTTGGGGGTTAAATAATCATCTGAAATATGTAATTAGAGTTGTCATTTAAAATGTGGCCTGCTACACTCGTACAGTTATCCTTCTTGTAAATTAGTGTAATTATATTGGGAAACCTTAAACTTTTTTTTATGTCAACAATACCAGTATTTGTAATAAACCTTATACTTTTCTCATAGGAAGATTAGTAGAAATTTTGGTTGACTATTGCAACTTAATAGCTATGATTAGTACTGAATATCTAATAAGCTTATTGCTTGGTAAATAAAGCCTGTATTGTTATAATATAGGATATTTTATTTAGCAACAGTTGTAGTAGTAATAAAACTTTAAGTACCTTACATGTAATGTCATGAGAAGTTGTAAATAAATATTTGAATTTAGAAATGGTAAGAATATTTTTATTCTGCATCTTTAAATCAAAGCAGTGTAGAAAGTATGAAAATTATGAAGACATTATACACTGTCACCAAAGAAACTCACTAGAACAGTCTTTGCCGAAACAGCTGCAATATAATATTGCTAAGAATGAGTGGAAAATAATCAAGCCATTTCAAGTTTGATACCAGACACATTTACTGTAATAGCACTAAACTTAAGGTGTTTAGGAGATTAAGCCTTTTATTTATTTTTTTGTTCAAAACCTCTTTTGTAATTCATCTACATAGAGTCCTTGGCTTCCTGCCAGTTCATTTTCCACGTTTCAAAGACAGTACCCTTACTAAGAAGCAGGAGTTGAACCAAAGTTCCAATTTATAAAACAAAGGAGATAACAGGCATGTGATGTGTGTTTTAATGCAATAAGCACTGATTACATAGTACGTTTGATTACAATTAGAATATTATTAAGGTTTGTGACTAGGTACTATTACATATTACCCATTAATTAGACTTAATTATTTTATGTGATAAATTTAATTTAACAGTTACATGGTAACAATGCATGTTAAGATGTATTGAATTTTTGGTTTACATTTTTTTCTCATCGAGCTCCCTGCACCTGTTTTTAGTCCTTGTTAGACACAATAGAGACATTCGAATGCATTTT